GATACTGACAAGAGAAAATAATTAATTTGTTGCTGACTCATTCAAACCTGTATTTTTTAATGCCCATTGACTAATAATAAAGGTAAAGGCAAAACTAACGCCCAGTCAGACCTGTTTAAAATAAGAGGGTAATACTAGATATATCCACACCTCAGTCTAGAAAGCTGCTTGTCTGCTATGAATATTACATACAAAGCCAATGCATAAGGAAAAAGATAAGGATATTTTCATATTTGCTAAGCAACATCAAAAAGAAAACACTGTAAACTTCCTCTTGTAGAATTACATGAATTGAGAGGTAAATATGTGTACATATAGTGAAGTGCCATTTTAAAAAAAATTAAAAGTAACCAAATACTTTTGAGTAGAAGAAAGGAATACAAAAGTATTTATTATGAGCCATTTCCTCTTCAGAATGCTGCTCCTAGTTGTATTTAATGCAAGACACCAAGTCAGGGAGAATCTGTTTGGTGTGTATGTGTGTGTATGTGTGTGTATGTGTGTGCATAAATCAGTCAAGATGGTGGCTATGACCCCATAACTTAAAGATTGCAACACAAACAAAAAGTTGGCAGGACTTTGATCATTGATTCACAGCCACCATTTTGACTTTTTTTAATTCACTCTACACATATCCATGGATATTTCTGAAGCATGTGCACATTTTCAGGGGGAAAAGCAATTCTCTGAAAAAAAATTGTAGTAAAAAAAAAAAAAGGAAACAGATTTTTTTTCTGCCATATCTGTCCCCCAAAGAGAAGCTCCTCCAAATTTTCCAAATGTTCTTTCTTTGTTAGAAATATTTGATTGTAAGTTTCACTGAGTGAGGGTCATAGAGGTTGGAGTAGAAAAGAATAAACACCAGGATCCACAGGCAACAAGTAAGGCAGGCAAATGTGTCCTGTCTTATTTAATGCCTAATATCAGTGCTTTTTTTCTATTAAAAAAAAAAAAAGGTGCCGGAACTCACACATGTCATACAACCCGCCTTGCCTACCCTACAAGGTTCCATCCAAAAAAGGTGCCGGAACTCCGTTCTGAGCATTCTATGAGAAAAAAAGCCCTGCCTAATATTGTCCAGTAAATAAGTGGAAAGATAGGGAAAAAGGTGTGTGACTGAGGTTAAAGTTCAGAGCCTATCCAAACCTGAGAGTAGGCAAATTCAGGAGATTATTGGTGTCAAAAATTAGAGCAAGGTGTCAGTTCCTAGTAACCATATAAATAAATATTCTACAGGGGGATCTGTCCCCAACATGGTCCTTCAGGTCTTTCAGTGGTTCTCCCTTTGTTACTCTAATTGAGTCCATCCATTTTGCTGTTGGTAATTATATTCTTTTTTCCTTCCACCTTTCCCAGCATTATGGAATTCTCCAGAGAGCTAAGTCTTGAATTATGATAATTGGAGCCTGGTCATTTGTGCCTGGGCCAGTGGAGACTATAATGTCACATAAATATTGTAACTTCATCATACAAATGTGAATTTTGTAATTTGCCTCAATTACATAGTTTGCATCATTTGTGCATATATCTCATCCCCTTAGAGTGTCCCCACCCTCAAGGTTAATGATTATCAGTCACTCCCAATCTGCGTACCTATATTTTGCGAATCAGACCATCGTGCTAAGCCATAACATAATTTATTTGTTTGGACACAGTATGTTATGTGGACATTGCAAAATTTGCATGCTGCTCTGGACTTAGGGCTAGGCACAAAAGTACAGTCTGTCTATGAAAGTCAGAAAAAGACTGAAACCTGCAATTAAGTGTTTTCTCTGCTGCTGGCTTAGTACTATTCATCCTTGAGTTGGCATAAAATGATATTGACACGTAATTCATTGTCCATATTGCTGATTCCTCTCTTCCTGATCAACAACATCATCATCTCATTTTCTCTCAGATAATAACTGACAAAGTCCAACAGATTTATAGTGTTTGAGGCTTCTCTTGGATGATGAATAAAGAGGAAAACATTGCTTTAGGTAGAGTAAAGAATGACTCAAGTCTATAATTGACAAGGAATGCAAAAAAGGCAATATCGTACAGTCATAGTAGAAAAATTGATATTGCCAGAGCAAGTTTTTGGTGTGGTTATGTACGAACTGGGAAAGGTTGTGGATTAAATCATTTATTTACATGAACCATGTCATTTCCTTTAACTTAATGTACAACTTACTAAATTTCTATCAATACCTTCCATGAGATTTTCTTTCTAGATAGACTGATTTCTAGAATACAGATATTCTGATATGGAAACTAAGCAAGGAGAGAAGCAACCTAGAACTAAAGAGAAACTTCGTGACAGTTAGAACAATTAACCAGTGGAACAACCTGCCTCCAAAAGTGGTGAATGCTCCAACACTGGAAGTTTTTAAGAAGAGACTGGACAGCCATTTGTCCGAAATGGTATAGGGTTTCCTGCCTGAGCAGGGGGTTGGACTAGATGACCTCCAAGGTCCCTTCCAACTTTATTATTACTATTATTATTATTATTAATAATAATAATAATATCTGATGTTAATGTAGATGTCTCTAATCCTTCAGCTGGCAATAAAGTATGGTTGCAGAGAGAGAGAGAGAGAGAGAGAGAGAGAGAGAGAGAGAGAGAGAGAGAGAGCATAACATATGTCTGATGGCTGCAATGGGAACCATGTAATGAAGCAGGATCTCCCATTTCATGGTAACCCAACAGTGCTAGTCAGCTGCTTCTCAAGCTGGCTCACAGGTGCTGGCTGCAGGGAGCAAACTCTTTCATCACCAGATTGCCATGCCATCAGATGTCCAATGACAGAAGAAATCAGTTCCCTTCTCTCCTCCTTCCCATCCCAGTTCTCTTCCCACCCTACCATGCTACTACCCTCAGTAGAAGTGCTAGGAGGAGAGAGGAGAGATAGTTTTTGGGTCCAGAAATAAAGGACCAGACCCTCCTGCTCCTAAAACCAAAATGGTCCTGCAAAAAACTGCCCAGGAAATGGAGGGCAGCAGGCATACAGTACATTCAACAGTCTAAAACAGCCAATGAAAGCTAGGCAAATCTGAGTCACTGACTGTATTATTGACTACATCATCAGTGAAGGGACCAAAAGGATCAACCTCTATAATGTGCAGGAAAATCAAATAAACCAACCATGAAAGAAAACTGTCCTGCCTTTCTTTAAAACCTACAACCTTCATAGGTAGATTTTTCTGCTATTGCAAATTTCTTAGTAATTTGTATGTAAATGAAATCTAGATGGATACAGTTTATAGTTATTATAATAGGTATTATTTCTGACATTATTTTATATGGCCATTGAAAGCACTTCTTGATCATTTCCACTGTAGTTTTCCTTTATGGCCCTGAACATAGCTTTCTTATCTTTTTTCAGTCTTTTTTGTCTCCATAATGAACATCCCAAGTTCCTTTAGCCAATCCTCAAAGTTCACTCATACTATAAGGCTTATATCAGGAAATGAAGAACACTATCTTAACATCCAAAGAACTATGATGAACATAAGCCACCTCCATGGTTAGTACAGAGTGAAATGATGACAACCCCAGAAAGTTATGTCCTTTAAGAATGGTTACTGAGGCATCTTTGTGACAAGGTTAATAAGATGTATCAGTTATATAGATCTGTCATGAAATAAAAGTCAGATAACTGTGCCAGTCTGATTTGAAAAGGGAAATCTGACAGTAAAATCTCTCTTTAAAAATTGTTATTTTTTTTACTCTATAAATACATTCACTCTTAACATTCATGGTATCAGAACATCTCTGCTTCATCTCTGCTTGTTTCCAGATTTAAATGTATTGGTTCAAGTTATTCAAAGGCTTATCTATCTAATATTAATGGTTTTCTAGCAAAACAAAATACACTGAAGACAATACAACTCAAAATCACTTGATTATCTTCCTAAAATTGTTATAAAGAAGAGTCAGGGGAAAAAAGTGAAACATTTTATTACAGGTTTCTGTGTTTGTGTATATAAAGAAATAGATTGGGAGGGGGGAGGTTAAAAGCACAGATTCTCACTTCTGCACTATAAAGAAATAAGCTCCCTGAACCTTATTTTAGTGAATATAATTTTTTTTCCCCTATAACTGGATGAAGATGTTCTTCTGAAAATATATTTGAAAGCTCTTACTTCTATCATTCCTAACCACATTTTCCTACTTTTTGTTTTTTCTTGCCACAGTTTTCATCATTTATCTGCTTCATTTTGAAAACTAGATTATCAAGTGGTGATGTATCTAATAATGATCCCTTTAACATTCCTATGAACCATATGTTCTGTAATAATTTTCACTGTATTTGCAGAAAGGATGCTAGTCCAGTCGTGCAAGATGATAGCTATAATGATTGATGCTCAAAATAGTTCTTCAGACATTCCTGTTTGAAAAATCTTGTTGCAATCCAATGAGTTGCAACATCTACTCAAGCCATGCACAACAATCTTTCTAATACTTTAAGAACAAGCCAAGATGGAACATTAATTGCATGAACGCAGAGAATAGGCATGAAACTGCAATAGTACTACTCTGAGCAGGGTAGTACTGGACTGGAGATAGTAACATTTGTGTCCCTTTTAGTCTTGATGAAAAGTGTCTCTCATATTGTTACAAAAAGAAAGAACTTCCCAAATCTCCTTAATGATACACCTGGTCTGGTTCTAAATCAATATATTTCCATGCTAAATGCAAAATATATTTCCATTTCAGGTTGTGATTTTCAGCATGTATGCTGTATGAGACCCGAAGCCCTTTTCAGTTTCCATAACATCAACTTATATTTCATGCTGATTGTGATTATTCCCTTCATTCATGTAAAGCCAGTCTATTCAATCTCACTTATAAACATCTGTTTGATATATGAAAGCTTTGGAATTTTCTCACTTCCCCCTTCTCCTCCAAATCCTCCCCCCATCTTATTTTCAAAGCAACTACATTAAGCTGAAATCTTTAAACTGAAATGAATTGATGGATACCATCTAACAGCATGTAATGTGTAGTAAATACTCACTAGAGGCAAGAAAGTGAGCAGAGGGCGGACTCTTGGACGTGGTTTAAGTGTGGCTGTTCCAGAATCTGTCATTGACGCAAAGTGATTACCGCCATAATAAATGCCATCCACTTCACCTAAAACAAAACAAAGGAGATAATAAATAAGCAAAGGAATGAAGAGCAAATGTTGTTTTTGAGATGAACTGTAAACTTCACAAATTATTCCAGCCTGTATTTTTTCATCTAGCAAACAAACCGTACCACCTAAATAGTTTGTGGTAATATTTGTCCAAGTTATATATAGATTCATTTGACAGAGGGCATTAACTAATGGGAATTAAAAACAGAAGTAGATAAAAAAATTATCAAGCTTTCACAAACACTTAGGAGCCACTTCAAATTACTTTATGCATAGAATCTAAAAATCATTAGAATCATTCTAAAGATGCACATAAACTTGCCATTAAATGCAACCTCAACATGTATTTGGAAGCTTCTCCATGATTATATCAACTTGAGCTAGCAATATGTAAATCCTTTCACTCTCAGCCTTGCATCCTTGCAATCATTGTAAAACTTGTGTGGGAATTAAAAGCTGAGCCTATTAACTATGAGCTCAACTCCTGATCCAAAGAAAAGACTGTAAAGACTTCCTGTTAGGCTATGGTGTGGAACTATTTCCATTAGCAAAAGCACCTTATTGCCATGTGGTCTGGTCACCATAACCTTTGTTCTGCATAAGCAACTGGATAGGGAGTCTTTCTGCTCCCAGAACTTATTGATGGTGTTTTCACTTGCCATTACTAGAAGAAAAGTAGGAGGAAAACAAGTAGAAGAGAATGGACTGATTGGATTATTCATTTTCATGCTTCCTTTTGGCAACAAATTTCCCTTGCTAGTGGGCAGATGGCAGGGAGTCTCAGCAATCACAACTGACTTTACAGTTCCTGCCGGTTTCCTCATTGACTTCAAGATCATGAAGCCCATAGGAAGTTGCACATCCAAGGCCACCAGGCAGGTAGGGGAGGAAGCAAAGTGGTGCATGAGTAGCCAGTGTAGCACAAATGCAGAGGAACTGGTTGATGGTTCACTAATGGGGTAAACTTACTCAAGCAGTTTGCAATCTTATCTGCCAGCGTCCTCATTGACGTTCACCCTGCGAGCTTCCCATAAGCAAAGACTTTGCTATCAGGAAGCTTCATTGGAAATGAAGATCACATGACGGTGGCTGACCAAGACAGTGTGGCAGCAGAACTAAAGCAGCAGTAGCATAGCAGTTCTGAAGAGGCTTCAACTTTTCCAATTTTCATTCCCATGGGTATCATAAGTTCAGGATTTCAGACGTTTCATGAATTAGCTCATTGGTTTAAAAATTGTTGCCCTTTGAGGCACCATTTTGCCCAGTACAAACAAACAAATATGAGAGTTTTAGTAGTATATAGATATTTTAATGGACACCCACTCTTGGAACTATTATTCATAACAGCACCTTTTTTATATTTGCATATGAACAGTTTCTGTAACATCTACATGTTGTACTTCTGACTTATTCTGATAATCAGCCCTTGCTTAAAGATTAAACCATATTATTTACAAACTAATCCTTGTGAGAGAAAATAAAATCAAAGTTGGTTACTTCCTTATAAGCACCAATAAAGATTTGTGAGTTAATAGAGATGCAAATCAATATATCCTTATCAAAATAACACACCATTATTTACAATTCTACCTAGCTGGCTTGCAGAGAATGTGGGCATTTGCAATTACATCCCATTCAGAAGTATCAGACACTACATTACAGTTTTAAAGTATCCCATGTTTCTGAAAAATCATGTAGCCCTGTTAGTCTATGAGAAAAACGTCCAAGTGTTGCTGGGTGATATTTCTAATATGATTAACTGAAATAGCAAGAACATATGCAAATTTGAGTTTTTCAGAGTGTCGTAAGAGGAAAGATGATTTAAAAATAAGGGATACAGAAGAAGCAAGAAAATTGAAAAGTGAGAGTAGATGTTTTAAGTTATAAGACTTTCAGTTTAATGTCATTTGCAATATGGAGTACAGATGAATCTCTGGATTCAAGTGTGGTGAAAACATTCTTATCAGCCTTCCATCTGAAGTGGAGTAGCTAATTCTGCTGATAACTCAGCCTCTTTTTACCCAGGGTCTTATCTGACATGTTTTGACAGACCAACCAATCAAACTGTGGTGTCAAAGAACAAGCAACAACCTGCCATTGACCACATTCCCTAATCCCAAACTCTCAACTTTTTCTTTATGTCCTTCCATTGACAGTGCACAATCTCAAAGACAGGGACTCTATTCTCATACGCAAGTACTTTAGCTGCTTTTATCACCTCAACAGATCTTGGTCATTTAATTATGCTCAGAGTACCGAAGGACAAAGCATCCTCAGTGTTCTTCAGTTTTGCAAGTTTACAGCCTGCATCCACCACAGTGCTTTTTGTCTGGTGTCTTTGAAGGAAACATCAAGCAGGGCCATAGATATGGATTCAGTGCATTCAAAGGATCTCCAGTGGGAGACACAGATGAGATTTCACTGAAAGAGACCTGCTCTTTATCTGGATGTTTCATTTTTTGCTAAGTAGGGCATTGGGGAACAGTAAGAATTAGAAGGCTATCTTTCACAGTCACAACACAATGCGTATAAATTCCTGGAAATGTTCACCCTGGTTCTTTCGCTGAATAAAATAAATGCATTATCCCATGAAGACCAATCTCAAGATGAACTGGGCATATAGCTGAAATGGTTCCTATTTCTTGAGAATAAGAAGCAACGTGTTGGGAAGCACCCAGCCTGGGAGAGAGGAGGGATCAAGCATGGAGTTAGCCCTTAGTTCCTTGGTTTTCACCTTAAAGGATTTTGAGAATTCTCTTCCTGAATTGGTATCTTTTTAAAACAATAATTAGATCTATTTTTATTTTGTAGTATCTCATCTTAGATTCTCAACTGGAGCTCAAAATTGGCTGAAAGTTTGACAAAGGAAATACAGAATTAAATCTGTTAAATTATTCAAGGAACTTTAACATGATCCTGTGCATCTCTACAAGTAGACTTCAGAACTTTATTTCCAAGAAAATCTATAAAGAATTACAGCCCTAATATATGTGATTTAGCCTTTTAATAGATTAATTCATACATGTTTCTATATTTGCAAATGAGTAAGCCAAGCCTATTTCTGAATATGTATGTCTGCATATTTATATATATGTATTTTTTTCAAACGATCCTGGCACATAAATAATAGACATTACTTTAGAAGACAAATTCACTTGTTTGCAAAACCAATGAGGAAATGAAATTCCTAAAGTTAAGTTTGCCACCTACCATTTTATAAAAAGTTCTATTAATGCATTTTTAAAATTGGGATACCTTAATTACTTATTTGGCTACAGTTTTATATGTGCATATTTAAGACTTTCATTAAAATAAATAATACTTTCAAATTAAGATGTATTAGATTGCATAGTTTATAATGAATTAATATAACCTGTTTATTCTAACTGCCCCATAAAAAGACATTGAAAACATACACATGGTTAATCAGAAATATAAATAATATATTTTATCATTTAAATTAAAATATTAGACTAAATGTTGATTTAAATCAACCTTTTACAATCTGGTACCTCTGAAGGTGAAGTGGGTTGGAATTACAACTTCTAGAATGCCATGCTAGTATAGTCTTTGATTATATTGGGTTGGTATTCTAGATTAGAGTTTCTAAACTTCAGCAATTTTAAGACAGTGACTTCTATTTCCCAGAATTCCCTAGACAGCATCTAACCTCAACATTTGCTGAGGTTAAGAAAACTAGTCTAGATGGTGGAGATTTGGTATATCTGGATGGCAGTTGCTTGGTCCAGATTGTTTAACCTATCAAACATTAGCAACCTAAATTTTAGTATCTCTCCCTTTATGTCACACCTGGTTATATGTCCAAACTAATAGTGCTAAATGGATAATATAAGTATCTTGGAGATTTGGCGAAGCCACCCTGATCATTATCTTTCTACATACCTTCCTAGAATAATCTTTGGTAATATAAAGAATTTAAATCTGACCTCAGGAAAGGTATAAGCAAGCCATTAAAAAAGGTCTTGAAAAGACCAGACACAGAAGGAAGTGTGAAACTCAAAATAACCCTACCTTACTCTTATTTAGTATAAGATGAGACAGAGAGAAACTTGGACATGATTCTGTTATTTATGCACTACAACAATAAAATAGCATTCCTGGAAACTCTGTGGTGTCTGTGTTTTGGCCCAGCCTACTTTGAAAAGATGACAAGAATCTAAGATTTGTCTAAATCTCTATCACCTGATAAATATTTAGAATAACTGCCCTTGGGAGGGGATCCAAAATAGCTCAGCAGGGACTGACATGCTCCAGGAATGAGGCAAGCTCATGATTCTTGAGGGAGAAGGAAAGGAAATCACAAGGGAGAGATAAGCAGAATGGAAGAAAGAGTGCAGGAACCAGAAACTCCATTGTTCTTTCCTTTTTCAACACTCAGGTATATCTGCTATTTTTCTGTAGCCAAAACAACAAGGCCCAAAATATGCATGGGGAAAATAAAATTAAACAAAGCAACAAAAAAAGTGGGAATAGGAATTAGGGTAATGTAGTAAGAAGGTGGACTCCCTGGAGGGACGTGGTATATTCTAGAGGAGTAAGGGGGAACTCAGCTCCTATTTGCTCCATATTACATGCTGTTAGATGTGTGAGAGGATGTTGGAACATTCTTGAACCAGGACCTGTGGACATCTTAGCTTCCAGCCTCACATTCTTGCCACATAATCACACATCTCTGAGCTGTGTTTTCTAGTAGTTAAAACAGCCCATAATTTACTTTAACAAGCTTCTCAGGTGAACAGCATGAATTAACAAGTATGATCAGCAGACAAACTAAAAATGTATAAGCCCCACCTCTGTTGGAAAGCTCTGTAGGAAGTTGCTGCAAAGAAAGTAAACATTAAAACACAGCAAAGGAAGGGAGACATATAGAGTATGCATGATCAGTAATAAAAGAAGCAGAAAAATCCTTGCCCACTGCAATTAGTACCATTACATTACTGATTCAAAGTTGGAAATAGACAAGGAATTAAATATA